ACTATTCTGGTCTTTATGAAAGAAATAATGTAATTTTTGACAATATAGATGAACCTGGAGGATGCTATGCTAAATGAAATAGAACAAGCACTGAAGAACACATAGAGTATGTTTTCACTTAAACATGGACTTGAAAAAAAAAATCAAACACAAAGAAGCAGATAGCAGAATGTAGTTAACAGTGGTTGGACAGTTTGGGTCTCGGGAGATACCGATCAAAAGGTATAATGATTCGGGAACCAGCAGTTAGCATAATGGCTATGTCGCTGGATTCCCACGTAGTCGACTGCGGTTTACGTCCCGGACCCGGTGGCTTAGAACTCACGCCGGGCGCGTGTGCGTTCATGCCCAAGATTCCAAGAGGAGAATAGAGAAGGGATTGCGACGTGACCATCCCCTCTGGGGGGGGGATTTCTCGTTTTCTGGCTCTCTCTGTCTGTCTGGCGAGCGCACGCGCCCTATGGCAAAAACCTCTCTAAAAAAAAAAAGGTATAATGATTCAATCAGACAGAAGCAATAAATGATAAAGATTTTAGTTGATAAAAAAAAAAAATATGGAGGCCAGCAAGTGGCATGATGGTTAAGGTGCTGGAGTCTACATGACCAATTTCAGTTCAAATCCTGAACCTGGTGGCTTGCTTTCTCACCCCTGTCTCTCTTTTGTGAGTGCACATGACCTGTGGCAAACTGAATAATAATAATAATGATAATAAAATTAAATGATTCTTTAAAAAGATAAAAGTTACTAAAGTAAATATCATTTAAAAAGTAAATATGCTGGTGGATGTATGCCTCTAATTTCAGCTATCCAAGAGGTTGAGGCAGGAGGATCATGAGTTTGAGGTCAGCCTGAGCAATACAGCAAGAATCCGTCTCAAAAATCACCTCCAAAATCAACACACACACATGAAACTGAAAGCACATCTTCAAAATAAGTAAAGCAAAAACTGACAGGGGATGCCAAACAGTGGCTCAATGATAACACAACTGGACCCATATGATAGGGTCCCAGATTCATGTTCCCAGACATCCCTCTATATACATGCATGCCTATGATCCAGGCTGGCTGAGGCAGGCATTGGATCATGACATGTAGATTACGTTGGGAGTACTTGTTTATTTTTTTCTTTCCTTCTCTCTTACTTCCTCTCTTTCTTTTGTAAGTAAAAAGTAAACATAATACAAAAACCCTGATAGAACTGAAAAGAATAATGGTAAACCTTCAATTACAGCTAGAAATTAAAAATTACTTATCAGGCTGGCCCCAGTGCATTGATTAAACACGAAAGGACACAGATTTCACATGGTTGAACCGGCTTTGAATTCCAGGCTCCAAGACCTGAAAACATACCAGGCATATATGCATGCATACCCAAGATCAAGACAGGAAGGAGAAATGCAGGAAAGGAGACCAGGCTGCACTACGGGGCACTTTCCTTTCTCTCTCTCTTTTTTGTGAGCATGTGTCCTCCAGCATTTAAAAGCTTTAAAAAAAAAAGAAAGAAAGAAAAAAGAAAAGAAAAAAACAACTTGTAAATAATCAAATGGATCAAAGAAGAAATCAAAAGAAAAAAATTAAAAATATTTTGAGCTGAATAAAAATGCAGCACAGTAAGTCCAAATTTGTAACATGTAGATATAGTAGTGCTCAGGATCAATTAATAGAAAAGAAAAAAGGTCCACAATCAATGATCCAAGCTTTTACCTTAAGGAGCTGAAATAAAGTTCAAAGTAAGTAGAAAAAGGAAATAATAAAACTAAATACAGAAACATGGGGTCTGCTAGGCAGCATGATGGTTAAGGTGGCTGGATCTGACATAGCTGACTGCATGGTTCAAGTCCCAGACCTGCTGGCTGGAGGAACACACCAAGTACATGTGCATATGTGCTCAAAATCTCAAGAGGAGAATGAAGGGAAAAAGGGGTTGTAGCAAGGCCATTCCCTTTTGGGAGTGATTTTTCACTCCCCTCTAAACCTCTGAAAGTACATGCTCTACAGCAAAACAAACAAAAAAACCCTATATACAGAAATTAGTTATAAATAGATAAACAACAGTGAAAATTAATGGAAGTAAAATAAATAATATTGCTTTTTAAGAGGCCAGCAGGTAACTTAGTGGTTAAGGCACTGGACTCCCACAGAGTTGACTATGGTTCGATCCCAGACCCAGAGGCTTGAAACTCAGGCTTGGCACATATGCATGAGTGCCCCAAATCTGAGTGGAGAATGGAATGGGGACCGTGGTGTGGCCATCCCCCAAGGGGGTGATTTCTTGCTTTCTGTTTCTGTCTCTGTCTCTCTGGCAAGCATATACCCCCTACAGCAGAAATCTCTTAAAAAGAAAAGCTTTTATAATTTCAATTTCTAATTGTTCTTTGCCAATATGTAAGAATACAGTGATTTTTTTTTATATTGGTAGCTGATCATACTGATGAGTTCACTAATTAATTCTAGTGTATTTTTTTTCATATATTTTTTAGTTCACAATTACACCTTTTGGAAATAAGGATAATATCTGTAGTTCTTTCCAATTTAATGTCTCTTATTTTCTGAGGCATATTTCATTGGCTAGTATATTTAGTAAAATGCTGAAGAGACATGTTTAGAATGAACATCCTGACTCCTCAATGATAAGGGAAAAAGTATTTTGCCATTAATTAAGATATTAAATTTAGATATTTTTGTAGCTGCCATTTATTAAACTGAGGAAGAAAAATTCTTTTTTTTAAAAAGAATTATTTTTATTTAACTTTATTTATTATTATCATTATTATTTTCCAGGTTGATCCGAGAGAGAGAGAGAGAGGGAGAGAGGAAGTGAGCAAGCAAGCCACTAGGTCCGAGACTTGAACCATGGTCGGCCATGTGGGAGTCCAGCACCTTTAACCACCATGCCACTTGCTGGCCCCAAGGAAGAAAATTTCTTAACAAAATATTTGCAAACAGAATCAGCAATATACTAAATAAGGACAGTACATTCTGATGAGATGCAACTTATCTCAATGATACAGTTTGGATTAACATTTAAGAACTAAACAATATAATTCACCATATTAAGAGAATAAAGAAGAAAGGTCAATTATCTCAATAGGTACAGATAAAAACTTCCTGAACAATCCAATTACATATAGTATTCTAAGATACAAGGCACCTAGAAATAAACTTAACAAAATACATGCAAATTTAAAGCATTAATAACAGAAAATTTCAGGATACCTTGAAAGATACAAAGACAACTGATACGAAGACAATACTATTAAGGCCTCAATTTTCTGTAATTTGATCTACTGATAAAATACAACTCCAATTAAAATCCCAGCTTGCTTTTTTAATGAAAATTAATAAGCTGACTCTAAAATGTGTATTTCAAACAAAAAATTTAGAATCACCAAAACAATTTTGAAAAAGACAAAACTGGAAGACTAAAATTACCTGACTTGAAAACTCACTGTAAATGTACAGTAATCAAAACAATCTGGTGTTACTAAAAGCTAGACATAAAGACTGGGCCAGCTCTGCTACCTAGTAGTTAAGGGAGCTGGATCCCAAATGGCCTACTGTGCAGTTTGAATCCTAGCCCCAGATGCTTCAGTGATATGACAGGTGTGTGTGCGTGTATGCCTAAAAGTCCACTATTATTCCAAAGCAGAGGTGAAAGGACTGTGGTACTTTCTCCCTCTCCCTAGACTCTCTGTCAGTGCATGTACCATCTGGTAAAAAAAAGAAAAAAACCCTAATAGATCAAAGAAACAGAACGGGAAATCCTGAAATAGATCAATTTATTGTTAACAACAGTGCAAAAGAAACTGTAGAGCAACAGAAACTCATATATATTGCTACTGGGAATATAAAGTGGCACAACTACTTTGGAAAAGACTAGGAGTAACGTACAATGTTAAACGCAAAATTGGTATGTAAACTAGCAATTTCATTCCTAGATATTTACCAAAAGAAAAACATGCCTACATAAAAACTTGCACTCCAATATTTGTGGTAATTTTATTTGTATAATAAAAAACAAAAAAGGCCATCCCAAAAGGCAATCAATAGATGGATAAAGAGTCTGTGCTATATAGAGTAGAATACTATTCAGCAACAAAAAGCAATAAAATCCTGACAACCACCATGACATGAATGAATCTCATAAATATTACACTAGGTAAATGAAGCTGCATCAAAGGAGTATATTCAGTAGGAATGTATGAGTAACCCTCTAAAAAGGACAAATTTAGTTATAGTGACAAAAAGGAAATAAGGAGTTGCCTAGTGTTGGAGGTACAGAATTTAATGTGTTAGATGTATTAGGGAACATTCATTACAGGATGATGTATAGATCTTGAGTACAGTGAAGGTAACATGGGTATGTAAATATGTTCAAATCCATCTAAACGTACACTTTTGGTGCATTTTATTGTCTACAAATTACATTTCAGTAACAGAGACAGAAAAACCTCCATCGCTAAAACAGAGTAATGCTCCCAGTAAGAACGCTTATCAAAATACATTAAGGACAAAATGAAAATGTATGATGAATACATGTGAACCATGAACACAGCATTATATATATAAACCCAGAACAGTCTTTGTGATAATGTAATACTTTACTTGGGATATTCACTTTGTAAGCTAAGTAACATTTGATTGAATGTATAAAAGAAGTTGAAATAAAAAGAAATAAAAAATTAAAAAAAATTGAACCTGAAAAAAAAAAATCTTCCAATTATTGTCTTTTTATATTTTGCTTGAATTGGCCAAAAAAATGACATACAAAAGTAAAATAGAGATCAGCAGAATAATGTAAAGCAATACTATAAATGAGATTTTGTTCTATATTAGAGACACATAATACTTAGATGTACAGAATGGCTTTAAGAGATTAAAGAGTAAATCATCATTGCTCAATCTAAATTAATCATTGCCAAGAAATACAAAAAGGTATTCATGCAAACAAAAATTGTTTTTTATCCACTGATTCAACTTTTATAAGATTTCATCTTACCTTATAAGAGCATCAGTTCGTTTATTAGCTCTAAGGAGGAGGACAACTTTCCATCTGTGGAAGGCGCCTGGAGCACCAGTGCGTTTCAGTTCTTCACGCCATCGTTTTGGCGCAGATTGCATTTGAGGTGAATAATGGGAGTCTTTTTCAATTTTGTATCCCCATTCATAAGTTGTTTCATCAAGCCATCTGCCACTTTTGGCACTCTGAATTATGTAGTCCTTAGTTAGAACCCACTTTCCTAGAAAGCAAATGAACCATCAGGCACAAAAGAATTCTGGTTCTGATAAATGTGAAGTAGTACAGATCAAATATCAAATAAAAGTCAACCTTTTTAACATAAGACTCAATCTACACTGTAAATATTATCTTTGAATTGTTTTTTTAAACATTTTTGATAGTGAGAAGCCTATGACATCACTGAACATTGTATGTACTGGGTCTTTGGAAAAATCATGAGGTACTTTTCTATGCAAAAATACATCATGACTTTCCAATGATGCAATAATACGTTTCAAGACAATTATAACTCTAAATATTATTAAATAAAACATGAATCTAAAGTTTTAAAAGATAATATCATCTGAATTATTATTACTGTTATTATTTTAAGTTAGGTTTATATTCTTCCTATGTTAAAAACTTTTCCAATAATGTTCACAGCATTATTATACTTAGTAAAACAAATTTACTGAGTTGGAGAATTTTTAGTGGCATTTAATAATATTCTTTAGTATCTTTACCTGGGCATCCATGATCTTTTTAACTAGTAGGAACAACACGTGTTCGTGTGTGTGTGTGTGTGTAACTGGACAGTTTACTCACTAGCTACCACTCTTACATCCTGCACATGTTTTATTTGTGCATTAATAAAATTTCAGCTATTACATATTTAACATGTGGAGAAAGTAAGGAAGCACGAAGAGACAGAAAATAAGAATATACACTGACTGTGGTTGTTTTTGTTTCTCTGAAAAGAAAAAAATACACATGCATACACACACACACACTTTTTTTTCTTAGAGACATTTTTGTGATAGGGCGGATGTGCACGCTAGAGAGACAGAGACCGAAAGTGAGAAATCACTTCCTCGGGAGATGACCATGCTGCAACCCCTTCTCCTCCATTCTCCTCTTAGGATTTTGGACACATATGCACATGCTCTGGGGGTGAGTTTTAATCCACCAGGTCCAGGACTCCAACGGGGTCAACTACGTGGGAGTCTAGTGATGGAATCATCATGCCATCTGCTGGTCCCAACAATGTATATTTTTAATTGTGGAGTTAATGATGAATGTAAATGTCTTTCTGGTAGGTTAATCTAAAAATAATAATTTCACCTGAGCTACATACACTTTTTCTTTTTTTCAAAAAAGATAATATGTCAGATTAATCTCAACAGAGAAAACTGTAGGAGTTATTATCAGTGGTGATAAATAGAGCAAGGAAACTAAGTTCTAATCTGGGTTTATAGAATTTAATATCTTATAAAAGAATAGGATGATCATTACTTTGCAGCATGGGTATTTTTCAATAATTAATCAAAGCAAGGAAACAGCTGAGGCTTTAACAAAAGTTTCATTTTGTGGCATTTTGTGCCAATCTTTTTGTTAAATTTTTTTAGTTTTGTTTTTTTTTGCTTAACTAAAGCACTCGTACTTTGGCAACATAACTTTCTGCCTATTTAATACATTTTATTTGCATTAACAAAATTTTGTTCACAAGAATAATAAACAAGTATCAAATACATTGAGAAAAATATTTATGTTTGATATAATAAACATGGTAGCTTTCCAGAGATTAGGATACCTTCTTTTTTTTTTTTTAAATAAAGACTTTTTTCCCCCAAGAGTTGGAAGAAAGCAATTAACTCACCTGCTGCACAAGCTGCTAAAAATTTTTCACTCTTGCATAGGCGATGAGCTATAAGATGTGTACAATTTTTATATTTCTAGAGGAAAAATCCACACGAACAAATGTTAGTAAAGTAAAATTTCCTTTATAACACATCCTTTTTATTCTTACAATATCAAGAAAGCATTTCATCGTTTTAGGGCAGTGTTTTAATTCTAGTAATTTTTCAGTATGCTGTGAATTTTGTTATAAATTTCTATACTCACCTCACTCTTAATAAAAGTGCAATCTAGTTTTAAAAGTAATTTGCCTAGTGCTTCCTTTTCTTCCATCTTAAATCCTGTTATTTGGATGATATGTTTTGGGGCACCATCTTCCATCTAACACATACACACACACAGAAGATAATATATATTAAAGACATTGACATCATTTTTAAAAATTATCTTAAGAAATGAAAAAAATGTAGTAAACTAGGCATGTAAGGGTTAATTGTAAATACCAATGTTAAAATTACTTATGTACAAGTTTTTTTTCCTAGTTTGAACACTGAAAATTTGCATTTAATACATCATTTACTACTAAAATATATCAATGAATGTAGTTTTTCAGAAATGAGTAGAAATGTACATAAATATTGGCATAATAAAGCAAGCTTTTTTTTTTTTTTTTAAAGAGGTTTTTGTCTTAGGGTGTGTGCTCTCGCTATGGAGAGAGAGGGAGACAGAGGCTGTGAGAGAGAAAGTTAGAAATCACCCTCCCGGAGGGATGGCCACACCATAATCCCTTCTCCTAAATTCTCCTCTTGGGAGTTTGGGCAGGCATGCACACATGCCTGTCATGATTTCCAAGCCACCAGGTCTGGGACTTGAACCACAGGTGGCAATGTGGGACTCCAGCGATGTAACTGCTACGCCGTCTGCTAGCACAGCAACCTGCATTTTAAAAGTATTGTTTTTAGCTAAACAAAGTCCATTTAGTTATCTCAAGGTGCTTTTCCTCTTAAAGCAGGGAGCAGCGAGGAATAGAGACAGATTCCAGTGGATAATGAAACTTAATCACATTTTATACTGATCCTTAAAGTATCTGTAAACAAATAATAGGTAACTGGAGAAACTAGAATTCATGGTTCCAATAGCATTTATATCAAATACTTTAGCACAGTAGGTACACATTATGATCCGGGATCCTAGATCCAATCTACATTTATTTGCTTTGTTATATTCAGGCTGAGTATCCCTTCTCTGGAGTGCTTGCTATTAAGCGTGTTTCAAATTTTGGATATTTTTTTTTCATCCTTCGGAATATTTACAAATATACAATGGGAGCACATAAAATAGAAAAATTACATGACTTTTAATGCTTGGTTTATCTTCATGGGGATCTTAATTCATATTAAAATGTAGTTCATGGGGCTGGCAGGTGCTCTAGTAGTTCAGGGTGCTGGACTCCCACATGGCTAACCGGTTCAAGTCCCGGACCTAGTGGCTTGGTTTCTCACTCTCTCTCTTTCTCTCACTGTCCCCCTCTGGTCAAATTTAAATAAGTAAAGTTTAATAAAATAATTCTTTAAAAAATGTAGTATTTCGTGTTTGAGGCTGTATATAATTCCCAACATTTCTTTTCTTTTCAAATGTTTCACAGTGCGTGTTCACTTGCCAGAGAGAGACAATGAGAGAGGGAGAGGGAGAAAATGGGGCATGATTACACTGTAATTCCCTCTCTTCCATTTCTCTCTTAAGGAATTTTTTTTTTAAGAGAAATTTTTGCTATAGAGCCCTTGTGCTCGCCAGAGAGACAGAGACAGACACACACAAAGCAAGAAATCACCCCCCACCCCAGAGGATGGTCACACCACAATCCCTTTTCATATATTCTCCTCTTGGGATTTTGGACACACACACACACACACACACACACACACACACCTGCCATAAGTTTAGATACCGAGTCTGGGACTCAAACTGTGGTTGGTCATGTGGGAGTCCAGTGACATAACAATTATACCATCTGCTGGTCCCTCTTATAGGGATTTTGTGGAACCATGCACACATGCCAGGCAAGTTTTCCAAGCTGCAGGAGTTGGGTTCCAGCTGTGGTTGGTCATGGGGGATCTAGCTTCCTTTAACAACCAGGCTACTGGTCTGCCCAAGCCAGCATTTCTAATTAGAATACAACTTTGTTTATATGACATTAGAGCTTTACAATTAGAAAGCAACTTAGAGAAAAATCTCTTTTTTCTTTATACCCTAGGAAAACAGACTAGAGACACCAGGGTAGTTTTTCATTTCTGTAATAATTTTGTCACCAAAGTTGTGGATTAGTATTTAACTAATGCTGCAGACAGAGCAACAGCAGTGCCTATTAACATTTAAGAAACAATGACTTCTTTCAAGACCATTCAAAGTAAACTTCAAAAACAATAATTATCTTAATGTAGTACTAATTGGGACACAACTGATAATGTGAAAGATGTTCTTTGCAGAAATTCTATTTTGAAATACTAAAATACACATATATCTATATTATGATATACAGACACACACCCACACACACACAGACACGTATTTATTTACAGGTTGAGATTTTAGATTAAAAACTTCAAGTCTCTCTATAAACAACTTATAGCACTACTCAAGAGTTAGGAGTAAACCTTCTTCACGTCCCTTGTCTAAAGTTTCTAAGAGAAGAAACTTAACTAAGATAACAGCAGGCATGGAATCTGTCTCTATTCCTCGCTGCTCCCTGCTTTAAGAGGAAAAGCACCTTGAGATAACTAAATGGATATGCTTTGCTCAGCATATCTGCATGTTTGCAAACAAGGTTCACAGCAAGGCTTTCTGACATGTCTTAAGGAGATGCCGTAGTCGTCCTGCACTGTTTGAAGGTAAATTGATTCAGGTTTGTATTAAGAAGAAAGCACTCTTCAGGTACACATCAAAGCCACATCCTGTAAACCAATTTTTATTCAGTAAAAAATCTGGTATTTTGACCTCCATATATCTAAATTATCATATTTAGCTGGCTCCAAAAGAGGGGAGAAGTATAATGTATTGACATGCTAAAATCCTAAAACTCGGGAGACCAGCAGGTGGTGTGTGATTAATTAAGGTGCTAGATACTCTCATATGGCTGTTCATGGTTCGAGTTCTGGACCTGGCGGCTTGCTTTCTTACTTTCTCCCTCTCTCTGTGTATGTCTCTCACTGTTCAAATTAAAAAATAAATGAATAAATAATTCTTTAAAAAAAATCCTAAAACTCAAGATCAAGCTCATAAAGAGTCTTCCAGGGTAAGGCTCTTCAAAGAAACAAATATTTAAAAGAAAAGTTATTGAGAATTTGGTCTGGTCAGTACAAAATTATAAAGTGAACCTAGTAGGCCTTGTTCTTTTAGTAAAAAATTAATACATGAAAAATACTATCATAAGAAAATAAAACATAAGTTATCTTCTTGTACAAGGAATTCTTTACTGATCAATCCATTTTACTAACCACTTAAATGGGCTAAATAACATACCTGTTGATTGTCAACATTCATGTATATGTTGAATGTTAACACAATATATAAAAACTTTAGGAAGACTATGCTCTATTGCTGGAAATAATGATTTAATCCAATGCAGAACACTTATAACTACATTACAGGGCCAGCCCGTAGCATGGTGGTTAAGGTGGCTTGATTCCACATGGCTGCACATTGGAATCCTAGATGTGTGGAGTGAAAAACATGCCAGGTGTATATTGTGCGTACCCAAAATGCTGAAAGGAGGGACGAAGAAAGGACTGCAATATGACCATTTCCTATGGGGAGTGCCTTCTCATTTGTCCCCTCTGTCTCCTATACTCTGTGGCAAGTACACATGCCCTCTGATGTAATAATTTTTTTTTAAAATTACAATTATGCCACATATGAATTAGAAAATATACATTCATCATTGGGGAGACACATTGCTTTTGTTAATTCTAGCAATTTAAACATATCTGTTAAAACAAATTTTCTTTAGAAATTAATAGGTCCTTTCAGAAATATTGAATAAGTACAATTCAATATAGCTATCAGCATCATCTTAGTACTCAATTTTTGTGTTTGTAGTTCTCAAAAGCCACCGTTATCAGAGAAATACAAGTGTTTCAAATATTTATGCTTTTCTTATTTATAATTTATTCAGATGTCATAATTTCAAAGCTACTTAGTAAGCTATTTTAAGAATGTTGCCAAGGAAGGGAAGTCTGAGTAATTTTAAAAACCTTATGTCTTGCCTATCTGGCAAGTGTAAAATACTGATTTATAAAAGCTTCTGTTAAAGATTCCATATTGCTGGGACCAGCAGTTAGAAAATGGCTATGTTGCTGGACTCCCATGTAGTCGAATGTGGATCAAGTCCTGGACCCGGTGGCTTAAACTCACGTCGGATGCATATGCGTGCGTGCGTGCCCAAGATTCCGAGGGGAGAACGGAAGAGACGGGGTTGCGGTATGGCCATTCCCCCTTGGGGTGATTTTTCACTTTCTGTTTCTCTCTCTCTCCTTGTCTTTCTGGTGAGCACACTCACCCTATAGCAAAAACCTCTCAAAAAAAAAAAAAAAAAAAAATTCCACATTACATTGTTTATATACAAAACAATAAAAAAAATTGCTATAAAACTATTAACCAAAAACTTTTAAAGTTTATACTTTAAATTTTATTACTCTGTTTCTTGAAAATTACATTTTATATAATACAAGAAAAAACTATCATACTTCATTTCTCTTTTCAGATCAGTCAGTAATAGCTATTTTTCTATTTGAATGTGCATTAACGAGGTGACATTTTAACATATTTTAGTTTGATATACATAGATGATTAAATTATTTGAATTTACTGGACTATACAGTATAAAAAGCAAAGTTTTCCTCTTAATAGGTTAACATTATGTATATGATCTAGTCTGTAAATTAAAAACATTTTCTGTCAAAGCAAGAGCCACAGTAAAATGAAAACAGAATGAACTGTGTAAAATAGTAGAAACCTGAAAAGCCTTTTACAAGAAATTTCTGTCCTTTGAAAATAAGTCAAAATGAAACTAAAATTAAACATGCAAGGAGAAAATGAAAGTAAAAAACAATAGGGAAATTAAAAAATAGAATGTTGTTAATTAAACATAATGTAAATATAGGTATATTTAAAAACAAATCAAAATACAGGATATTTATTCACTAGAAAAACCAGGCTAAATTTTCACAGAATTGTTAATCCTAGTGATAGCACAAATAATTAGCAGTTTTAAAAAGAACAAATTTCATTAATCTAATCTGTAACAGCTTTCTATAATAAAATAATCTATTTGAAACAAGTTTCCATTTGGCAATGCTTTTTAATACCATATCACATGACAACTA